CAAAATTACGGGCTTCATTCACTGTGACCGTTTAGGCCTACAGAAAAAGGGGAACCGAGAAAATGGGCTCCGTGTTGCCACTAAAAGGTAGATGATTAGCGAAAAGCAGATTAGCCTGGCACCGGTTTTTAAATAACCTGACTTCACATTATACTCACGAATCAGTGCAGACCAAAGACTATGCGTAGACTTCGAGCTCCTAACAATGTTACACTTTCTAAACGATTTTCCATCCTTTTTATCCATGACTTCTTGTTGGGCTTAGATGGTTCTAAGATATTCCCAATACTCAGCTTTGTCCAAGTTGTCCGTGTGCACTTAGGTAGCAAACTATCACCGAACACATTCATGGTGTCGAGAAAGCGTGCACATCTTGAATCGACTCCCCTGTCAGCTCGGATCGCAATGTAATAGGGTGTAGTTTTGGGATTTTACGGAATAACTTTTCAAAGTCGAAATACTGGCGCTTTTTTAAGTGCAAAATGCAATGCCATTCTTTACACCCCTGTTTAAAAAGTCTAAATTGCCTCAGACAACACATTACGGCAGGCCATCCGTTACGTCCAATGCAAATGGCAAACGTGCTCCCCCACCGAAGATCTTCAGCAGTTGTTCCAGCGACGCAATTCCCTTTGCGTTATAGACGGCTGCTTGATGTTCGGAGAACGCGTTGTAGTGCCCAAATCACTGCGATTGTAGTTTATTCGTCAATTTCATACTGCCCATCCCAGCATTGGTCGCATGAAGTCTTTCGCCCGCAGCTACGCTTACTGGCCAAATATGGACCAGCAAATTGCAGACCTCGTCAAGAGTTGCTGTCAATGCCAGCAGGCCACCATGAACCCTCGCAAGGTTCCTTCAGCCCCTTGGCCACAACCACAAAAACCGTGGTCACGCATCCATATAGACTTTGCGGGACCGATCAACGCAGTCTCGTACCTCGTGCTGGTGGAAGCCTACTCAAAATGGCCGGAGATTGTTCCAATGACTTCACCTACAACAACGAGGACATTACAGGATCTGTCCCAGATTTCAGTTGCAATGGGATTCCGGAAACTGTAGTCTCAGACAACGAATCACAGTTCATAATTCAAGGAATTCTGTCAACAGCATGCTATTACACACATGCATTCCCCACTCTGCTACCCACATTCAAACTGACAGGCGGAAAGGTTCGTCGACACATTGATGCGAGCCCTACTGAAATCCCGTGGGCAAGGAACGACGTCTATCGAAAGTCTACAGAAGTTCCTGCTGGTGTATCGCACAACACCTATCGAGGCTCTTCCAAATCGACAGTCGCCATCTGAGGCACTCATGGGTCGCAAATTGCGGACAACAAACTCTGCCATGATTCCGGTACAAGACAACCGCCTGGAGACTCCGAGTACGACATCTACCACTCTATTTGAGGTTGGAACAGTCGTGTACGTTCAAGACTATCGACTAAGGCGCGACCCATAGATAGGGGGGACGACTGCATGCCGACACGGAAAGGTCATGTTCGACGTGACGGTGGGTCAGGACACGTGGTCAAGGCATCGCAACCAGTTCCGATGGAGAAAAGGACAGACGACAGCGAATCGCCAGACCAAAGTCTGTTCGACACTTTCCAGCTGCCGACACTGAAAGCGACGCAAGCGAAACCGGACAGAGCTCAATTAGCAGCTGACCAATCATCACGTCCAATTCGGAGTAGTCGGAAACGACGAAATCCAACACTACTCCAAGTCGACCCGAAGAAAAAGCGTTACTAGCTTTTCAAGGGTGAGGAGTGTTGGGGATTCAGGATTCCCCAAGATAGCTCTTCGTCGGTTTTCGCCATTATTTACATTATTTCCCTAACATCTGTTTTATTGCGCTTTTTTACTAGGTCAAGGTTGACTTTGGCTGAGGCGATTAGTTCTCTGCACGGGCCTTGGTCTTGTCTTGCATTAGTGTGGGAAGGTCGGTTGTAGCGTCAACAAGGGATCTGGTACCGTTATCTGAGTGGATTTATCATGGTTACGGGCAAACGTAAAAAAATGAAGTGCCATTCTTTACACCCTTGCTTAGAACATCTAAATCGCCTACCCCGAAATTGATTAACTCTTCACGCTGTCACATAGTAGTGCTTTCTTTCATTCATCACACATTGCATCGGATAATGGACAGGAATGAGGACATGTCGGACTGGGAAAGTTTTTGAACTAGCTTAAATTAAGTCAATGTTTTTAGAACTTGTTTAAATTAACGGGGAAGAATAGAAGCGGAAGATAGTCATGTCCTTATGTGGACATTAACAACGACTCTCTCTAATGAATGCGAATTCTCCGTGGCCCTGATATACAAAATACCGTAGTGAATTGTGCGTTGAGGCGTGGTGGTGCAAGCGTGTCAAAACAGATTTACCTCAAGAATGAGTAGCCTCGGTGACCCCTCCTTTACGGTTAAATGGTTTAACACACACACACGCCCCTACTCCTCTCTGGCCCCGAGTGCGCCGTAAAGGCACCCACGCACGCATCGCGCAAGCGTACAACGAGTTCGAACGCTAAATTGTGGCTCGTAAGCTCAATCTTTGTCTCTTTAGCATTGACTCCGGTTTAAGTGCCGAAACGGGTCGCCTCTTTCCTCACGAGCACTGCTTGTGGCTTGTGAAGAGGGTTGTAAAGTGGCAGTAGAGCACCGCAATTGGTGACTCTGATCAAAGCTATCACAACTCCACAACGCCTTGCATGTGTCGCATGAGGGGCAGTGTACCAAGTAATCATTAAAAAGAGGGTGGACACACACACGCCCACCTGAACGAGACTGGAGAGGATGGTTGGAAACATGAAGAGCGGGAAGCGCAGAATGTTGAGCAGTGAGAGCGACACGAAGGCCTTTTCCGCGTTGAACACATTGTCCGGCGACGAGAGTGTGTAGACTACGAAGGTGGCCAGGGCAACCTGCAAGGAGACGCGACCGGGTTACAGGTTGGTAGGCAAGACACTCATCCTTACGTGCTGTATGTGAAAGTGAAGCGCGAAAAAAGTTGGCGACTCGTGTGGGACATAAAAGGTCGCTGTGACACGTCAAAGAGTGACCGGAGTCGACGACATGCTCACGCGCATGGCTGAGATCTAGCCTGCGCTCCAGAGCAAACACCGACGCCTTTGCAAGTTGCCGTGAAGTAGCAATAAGTGGGAAGCAGTTGCATTCTCAAGAGGCAAACAAACGGTTTCTTAATTGAAAATTCTTAAAAGCATTTAAGAAAATATCGCATTAACAAAGAGGGTCACTACGAGTTGCTATAGTCAATATGGCTCTGTAAAGAAACTTCAAAATAAACGCCCAAGGTAATGAAAGCCTTCGGGAGCCAACTTCGTACACGTCATGTTTACTTTATCGAGAATTCGCAGGCAGGTTTGGGTTTTTGCAATTTTGAATAAACAAGCTTAATTTGGCAGGTGAAATGTCCTCAGTTTATACTTAGCCGCAGTGAAAAACTCTTCGAAATCAGTGGTAGCGGGGGTTTCCGTGGCGGCGGTGACAATAACCCTTCGGCCAAATGCTTGTGAGGAGAAGATGAACGCATACACAATTCAACTACCAAACGTGAACTGTGAGGAACCTCGAAGGGTTTTAACTGCGTGTTGGAGACCAGTTAAATAAACGTGCAAACATGCAAGCGCTACACCACTGGTCGATCAAGAAAACAATTACTGCTTACCAGTATGGGGGCACATTCATGGACAAACGTTATACTGCAATCCAAGTAGAGGTATTTGCGAAGATATGAGAGTTCTTTATTGCGGATGGAGTCAACTTCCCGGATGAATGAGGGCTCCCAGGCGTACAGCTTCAGGACCTTTAAAAAAAAGCACAGAGGTACACAACGTCATCATCGTTTTTGTCAGACGTTTTCGTCACACAGACGAAACACTAAGAGACCGGTGGAACCATATCCTTGTAGAAATAACCTTGGAGTCTGTGCAGCAGAAAGCATACCAACTCTGAATATATTCCATTAGCAAGTGGAGGGAGTGAGGGGAAGGAGAAAGTGGAGAAGGGAAGGCGCAAAAGGGGAGGAAAAGGGGAGGAAATGCGCAAATCTAGCCTAACGAGGGGACCTTATTCGACCCCAGCAAGGCATCTGCTTCATCGCAACGCCGCAGTGCCGATAGACTCCTCACAGGCACGCCAAGGAGGCTTAGTAGGTGGCTGACACAGTTGAGTTGACACTTTCACAATCACCTTACCTACTAGGTCGAGGCCATCCACTCGGTTCGTGGTAGTGCGAGTTGTGGGAAATAAAAGGGGTGAATTCGGCCGCCTCATGCCTTCACCGTTGGCACAATCACGGTCACTACCAACATCACTACAAATAATTGATAAATAGAAAACCAAAGACACCACCTGACAACAATGTAAGTTCACAATTTCACCAGGAAAAATGCCACTCACTCTAATGCCGTTGAGGATTTCACTAATCAACTTGATCCGCGAATCTGTTGTCTTCAACTGTTTTTCCTGAAACAAACAGAAACTCAGGCAGCGTCTTAAATCACATTAAGCAAGCACTGGAGTACGAAAGCAAACGATCACTCCAAAATTTGCATTTCAATTAGGCAGGTTGCCACAAAAACATCAGTTATAATTTTGATTCTTATAGCTTTATGGATTTTTTTTTTGATGAAACCAGTTGGAGAACTGACAGTATATCAATACGGCTCAATGTCAGAAAGCACTAAATTCCGTTAAGCATAGCTGCAAATGGTGGAATCTGCTCCTTCACACATTGCGGGAATGTGAAAAACTGACATATCTACCCGCCAGAACCGAGACAAACTTTGTACAAGTAGACATTGTCAACACGGTGCTCCTCACCTGCAGAATCTTGCTCTTCCTTGCGACAAATACATTGATAGGAATCATGACGAGGAGAATCGCGATGCCGGCTAGAACAGACGGTCCCAGCTCCCCCCAGAGTAGGTAGATGGCAACTGTTATCTCTAAGGGTGCGGACCAGAGAGTGTGGATGTTCAACATGAGAGCACAGAAGCGCTGGGCGTCAATTGACATGAGGTTCGTGATCTCGCCCGTGGTCGATTCACAACGCGCCGCCGAGCTCAGACGAAGGCTCTGGAGAGGGACGGAATAACGGAAGGATAGATTCCAAACACCAACCCCTTCATTAAATTCGGAATGTGCGTGGCACATCCTACAATCCAGCTGTTAGAAGAAGGCCGGTTTGGGTGAAAACGAGACACCTGCTTTATACATGTTCATTTCAAGGGAAGAAAACCAACAAGGTAGATTAGGAACTGACTTTTCGGTAGACGGCAGAAATGAGGATTGTGCGAATGTCCATGCCAATGAGGGTCTGAGTTCGGAAGTACTGGTGGAAAACAATGGTTTGGATTACGGCCACTGAGAACATTAGGCATGCGTACGCGTAGCCGTGCCATCGCGGCTCTGTTGAATCGGGTCCCAGAAAAGTCAGAAGGTACCTGTAACGGGTAAAGGCAGCAGTGGTGTTAGCACAGATTCACAAAGAAGACACTAACACACTTTCACTGCTTGGAGACCTACGACGCTGCAAATAGGTCACAGCTACTGTACTCAACTTCTGACCACATTCGGATGACAGATGTGACCTCAACCTTGGGCGGTCACGTCACGCTTTTATTGGTACCTTTCAACTTCTGGACACGAAACAATCCAAGTTATGCCGCTTTACGATAATATAATTCGTTATCAATTCAGGGCTGAGCAGTAACTTACGGCAAAGGGAAATTGAAAAATGGTATTTTACTTGATGTTTGGCGTGCAACGTGCGACGTAGCACAAACTCGTGGCCCTCGACAACGAGGCGCCTACGTTTTAGTGCAGAATTCACCACAAATTCGTTATGTGCATTTGCTGTTTAATGTATATTGTCATTACGTTTACTGTTTAAAATAACACCGAGACACCGTCGCGCGTGCCGGATAGTCATTTATTTTTGTCGGCGCCAAGCTTGCACTTCCGATTGCGGAATTCAAAGTGTGGAGACGGTGTACATTTAGGCCCAATTGCACTTTGGCCTCCACTGTGTAAAACAACTGAAACTAACAAACAGTTGAGTGAAATCACTATCTCAACAAAAAACCGACCCTTGTAGGGAAGCCGGCACAGACTTCCAAGAACGGTTGATTCAGTTGGAAGCCACATTATACCTAAAGTTGGTGGGCCACTGCATCAGTAAGACGCAAGCTCTGCAATACCCACTAAAATTAACAGAAAGCAGACAAACCAATGCTAACTTCCTAAGCAACTGGACGAAGAGGACAACGAACAGGCTTTTGACCACGGCATGAGTTCATTCTTAGTAGACAAGGCAAGCAGCATAATGATGACCAAGTCTGAGACTTAAGAGAAACATGTTTGTTGACATTTCGGCGCAAACAGGTGCGTCTAAAAAGAATTGTGGGCTTTGCTACCGAATGAACTGAGCTACATATAAAAATAAAAGTTTTATATGTTAAAGGATCGAAGTTCTGGTATTAGATTGCATAATACATCATTTGATTATTGAATGTCACGTTAAAAGGCATTTGATGGAGAGGCACAGAACTGAGGAAGATTTACGAAGTCGTCCTCCTAACACCACGCCAGCGTGGATCACAGTGCAAAGGGTTTACAATGTCATGGCCTCCGACGATTTCAGCATGTGAAATCCCTCTTGAGGTGTTCATCTGTGCCCATTCTAACAGGTGAAATTCGCATACGCTGCTGTTAAGGGTGACTGCACAGTTTAATGTGTGGTCAATAACGGGGTGTGTATTGTAACATGACCATCGACGCTAGTCGGTAGGCGCGCAAAACCTCTCTTTCGACTACCAGGAGAAGGTGCCCTGTGGAGTGACCAAATTCATCCGATTCAACCGACATGGGGAAACGCCTGCGAAATAACACCAATGATTAAATACCTTCTTTGGCTCGTAAATACGCGCCTCACTAAATCGAGGATCGTGAATTCAATATTTCTGAATACCTTGTGTAGATCAAATTGGCGTCTTCAAAATAAAATAAAAGGAGTAGAGTTTACAAAGAGGAGATTTGGCATCACGACCTTGGAACTTGGCAACACATCAGTCCACGACCAAACACAAGGCGCCAACATCATGCCTCAAAAGCACGATTAGTTAAACATGCGAGTGGGGTTAAGCACAGGCTTACTTCAAAATTATTGGTCCACTGAGGAGGCAGATGACGTGGATAAGCTTGAAGGTTGCAGCAATGAACATTCGCCAACCGAATGTCACGAACAGGGACATTATAAGACCACCGTTGAGTCTGTTTTTGCGCTGCTGCTTAGGTTCCTCCAAAACCCCGTCTCGTCCACTCACCGACGACTTTCTGGCGGAGTCCGACTATTTGTGGAAAAAAATGCTCTTCTCAAAAACGATCTCCAGCTATTTTGGTTTTCAATTCGGGTGGTGTTGTTCCCATCTGAACGGCCTTTGTCTCCTTATCAACGGTATTTACTACTTCATTACACGAAGCCAGGCGGTCCGCAGTGACCAAACAAATCACCGCGATCTCTTCCATCTTTGTATTTTTGAGGAGAAAAAAAGAGATTTTCGCTCAGTGTGCTAAGCATGAAAATTATGGACTTGTGAACGTTATCTGCAGTTGGTAAACTATTCGTCGAGACATTACTGAGCATGGTAAGCATTATCGTCATTTCCTGCAAAAATATCCGACCACCAAATAGTACACCGTTGTGTTTTCAATATAATGTGACTGTGGGGCGATAAACTGTGCCAATGTCGCCAATTAAAAGCAACCATCTCATTAGAAATAAACCGCTTACCGCGCGCTTCGTGCGCATTCCACTCTCGAGGTCTCCGGAAATCGAACTCGTCGCTTGAGACTGTGGCCTTTTAAATAGCCCGGTTAACCGAATTCGATAATTCGACCAGATTGAACTTGCTAAAAGTAGAAGTGGATTGGAAAAAAAATTGATTTTACTTCAAAATCAACCTAAATTGTCTTTTTACTTTTGCCCTCTGCCTAATAGTCGTAGGCGCCGAATTCAGGATACATGCATGCGTGTGTTTGAATGTCTCCGATTCATTAACCTAGCTCTCAAGGCGAGTGAAGTTAATGAGAGCACATAACTTGCTGCTCACAGATCCCTGTGGTTATAAAACACTGCGTCATTAGACTTTGGCACAACAAGGAGAAAAAAACCCTACACGTAGATGTCTGTGCGTGTCTTCCATGATCCGCTTCCCTAGATATCGTCCTGTGATGTCGTTGTCTGTTGGAATCCCCTTCTATCCACTCCTTACTCTCCTCATCCTCCTCCTCCTCTTCAATGCCCACATCTCCAACGGGGTCCCATCGTTTCGACCTTCGGTCATCTGGTAGGCTTCGTGAACTCCTAAAAGAACTGACAGTAGAAGATTTTGCTGAAACCACAGCGTCTTTTGTCTGGTCGAGAGGTCCCACGGACGACTTTTGCTCGTCAGAGGAGAGGTTGAAAGCAGAGTCCAAACTGGGCGGGCTGTAGCGAAATTTATGCGAGGACACCAGTGATCTAGGAATATGACATGCGGGTAAATTAACGACGAGGCCATCTTCTAGAATCACATTTTGAACTATTGTATCGTGCAATCTTCTTCGAATTCACTCATCTGGTCAATACCAATGCCTAGTCAGTTGTCACACCGACCGCCGTCGCAGTGCGTGCTTTGAAGACAGGATAGTGAGGCATGTTTGAAAGTGTAGGGGCATAGGACTCATCTTAAGAGAGTATTCACTAACGGAAATCACTCGCATCGACCTTTGTTGTGTTAAAATATGGGGATCAAACGGGTACAGAGTGACCCCTCTTAATAATAACTTGCGGTCTAGAAGACAAATCGCTTAGGAGAATAAACCACAAGTTCCCGAAATCTCGAAAACGGTGAGTAAACGAATCAACCCAGACGAAATTTCTTCCCCAAATCGGCGTAGAGAGTCAACTTCAACCGATACAGCCATGGGAGCAGATCGAAATCAAGCAAAAGGCTCCACTGGCATTTTCGAGGTTCTTGCGACGTGTACTTACGAGTCCATGACTCCGGAAATGCTCACTCGAAGGTACTTGGCGATCCGGGGGTAGAACCTTGACCCGAGACTGGCGGAGATGTGTTTATCCTCCAACGCCCACAGATCAGACATCTTCAGGGTTTTCCTGTAGCCCTTGATGATTAGTCTGAAACAGACGAAGAGCCACTTTTGAAGACACATTTGTCTTCTGGTAATCGACTCCTTACTTATCTGGTGGTGAGAATTGACATTACACTAAATTGTACAAAACCACAATTCACCGCTTTTTTCCGTCTACAATCACAGTTTCCAATCATATGAAATCGAAAAAGTTGGTTGTAAGGTGCATAGGAGAATGGCCGTAGTGGAGAGTAATACATTTACAGCAAAACCGATGCACGTTGTAGGAGACCAGGATCGACAAAACGGCCTTTGATATGGCATAGCCTCCTCGTCCTAACTAATTCTCTCTAGAAAGACCATGAATTAAGTTGTCCAGCAGTGTTAAATCTCTTCGCTCAGCAATACCTTCAACGTGATAAAATATAACTCCAGCTAACCGCACTAACTTCAGTAGTTCTGAAACAGACTAGATTGTTTCGCCCTGAAGCAGTGGAAAAAGTTGCTTTATCTTCACGAAATCTCCTTCAGCTACCTTAGTGATGTTGAGGCATTTGAAACGGGTGTACGGTTTCTCGACTGTCAACCCCTGAATGGCGGCCTTGACTTTAGCTTGGTAAAACCTGCAACTTGCCAGCAGACTTATTGATAGGTACTTGTCTGGTTGCGTTTGCCTCGCTGTTTACAGAAACACACCCATTAACACGCGCATAAATCACAACGGCACCCCATGTCTGGTGGGCAAGGTGATGGTCATGACTCGCCTTTTTACCATCCCCACAGATTTCGTGGATCGCTTACCCGGCCGTACACTGTTAAAAACCACGTCCTACAAGTAACCTCCTTAGTTCTGAACGTTGCACGCTCCAATGCAACGTCAACTGTTGTTTTATTGACCTCCTATGGAGCAAACATTTAAAAAGACGATGCTTTATCGGTAAAGACGGAAGCATCTCAGCCACTCGCACACATCGGCGTCACACCGAGTCGCTTCTTCTCTCTTACTGAAATATGACTTACAGAGTCGGTAAACTGATCTTCGAGTGTTTGCTGTGACACCTGAACGTCTGTAGAGCCCGGCTGTAACAAGCCTTCAAAGGCAGAGACTTGTCAGTAACACCTTGTCTGGTCGGCCTTGTTTGTGAGCAATTAATGTCGGTGACCACTCCATTAAGCGTCCACGGCCTCGCACATACCGTTAATGCTCACCTAACCCGCCAACCCACCCCATTAACATCCTCACGGATTTCAAATATGGTTTATTCTTAACTGCTGTCCAAGTCTAAAAACACGTAAAGGATGGTAAATCGAGTGGCCTGGTAAGGCTCGATGCCCACAGAGTTAAATGAATATAGGTAATGTCAATGGATAATGTGGAGCTGCGAATCAAACAAGAACAAAAGACACCCTTTTCCCTTATGCCTTAACGAGAATGCAA